GAAATGTTGAGATACCGATTTGTTGTTGGGTAACGATTTTTTGTCGAAACATTGCTGGCAACCTCGGGATTTATATTCATACAAACGTTGCAATGTCATTCGCTGTCAATGCTATCGACTATCGAGTAAACTCGAGTCCGTACGTACATAAGCGCATAAGCTTCAATCCGCCAATTTCAATTATTTATTCTTGCTTCCTTTATAACGGTTCTTTTTGTAAATTGCAAACATTTACTTTGTTACAACAATTCTTAATAAAAGACAACATTAAATGGGCGGTTATGAGCCGTTAACATTAGAATTTAGAAAACATTTTGTGCTAGGCCTCTCACGCGTGTTTCATCCGGTGACGTCACGGATTTTTAAAACCCGCGCAATGAGGCCTAGGAACTAGGCTGGTATTCAATGCCATCACTTAGATACTGTTGAACATTATAATGCCAGACCTGGCACACGTGTTCATACCATCACTAGTTTAGAAAGGGATAAATTCCGTCGATATAAATCCCCCTGCCAAAAACCGGCAAATTAAAATTTAGTCACTGCGTAGAAGGCTACTTTAGTACTTTTCTCGAACGTTCCTGTAAACGAAAATAAGATTCGTTGATAAAGCCAATTATACGGAGTTATACTGGAATATTCTCTTCATATAAACAAGTTTTTGGCGAACTGCTGACAGTCATAATAAAGCCGATCAGGGGCGCGGCTTTTAACCAGCACTGCATGAAAAACGCCGTATTCCAAGGTATTCACATGTGAATACGGGTGTGAATAAAACACATATTGCAAGCGTATTCCGACATGGAATATTAGTGTGAATACGGCATCGTATTCTTCAGTATTCTAAGTGTGAAACCGCGTGAATATGCCGCGTATTCTGACCAATATTCACACTTGGAATATCTCACTTCTCACTTAATCCGTGTTTCCACAAAAAAATTCATCAGCTGACATTTTTAAACTTTATTTTGAATGCTGAAAAATTGAAGTGGAATTTTATAAATAATTTGGCGCAAAAACCAAAAAGCGCGCTTTCGAGTTTAATAAACATTGAACGAGGAGATCGTGCGTTTGTGGCTGTAAGAAATCTTTTTGGCGCTTATAAATAAGGGAAGAGAGTGAAGGATGCCAAGGGCTTGGTAAAGTCTGGAAACTCTGGTCGCAGTTAAAGAGCATGCCGGCGAGTATTGTATGCTACGATTCCCACGAAGTCTGATGAAGAAAATGCGCGAAATAGAAATGAGATTGCATGGCGCGATTTCCACAGCACCTTATGTTCGCTAATACGTGTAAAATGATAACGAATATTAACCGTATTTCAAGGATTTTTTATTGTTCAAAACCGAAAACGCATATACTGTTTGTGCGTAAGGGACCTCTTCGGTGAGTGACTAAATATCGTGCAGTTGAATTCAATAGCCGGCCTATAGACTATACCCTATGACCATGTTGGGAGTAATCTCAACATTTTATTAACAAATTACCTGGTGATAAGAGGTTAATGGGTTATGCGTTCGCAGCCTGTGCGAATGTTTAGGCATTTATTGTCCCTCAAGTCTGTCCATTAAGGAAAATATCAATATGAACAAACATGCATAATCTTTAGGTTGCCATGTTAATTTGCATAGCAGTCATACACATTGCAATGGTAGGTTTATCCACAGTTAATGTGTTTTATCAAGGTTGATCAAATGCAATACTAAGATTTCAGTCAATTATTTAAATTTTATACAGTCCTTAACAGATCATGTACATGTGATGGGTTACAACATTTCACATTTTATAAAATATTATTGGAACATCAAAATTGTTCAAAAATATGCAGCAAAAACACAGCCTATCATGAACTTCTACTAAGCTGTTATGATTTTCAATCTTTCATCAGCTGATTGTTAATTTATAAGCAATGTTGTTTTAGTATATATGAAACATTGCTCCTGGAGTATGTCAGAAATTATACTTAATAGTAAATTGTTGAGCAAAGCAAGTGATGTTTTTTCACTTGGTAAGATATTAAAAACTATAGGTGAGCAGATAATGAATCAGGAACTTCTTTCACTGGGTGAAAAATCCTCTTCATCTTTAGCAAAGTTAAGGCCAACTCTTTTGGGAATTTTCTCAATCTTGCAACCCCTGATGGCTAAAAACAATTAAAACCACCTTAAAGCAATTATTGAACAAAATACATAGCAAACTTTTAAGCTATAATAGATTATTATCCGAAAGGTTAATGATAATGGTAAAAGCTGATGTTGCATGCATGGCCATTTGTTTTTATTGTTGTGCATAGAATTTATGCAGTGTAATGAAATTATAATATTCCTAGGAGAATGTATATGTACAATGTACAATGTACACACCATTCATATAATTTGGAAGCTAATCAATTAGGGTAAAAATGGAAACAAATTCTTCCATGAACTTAAAGCTGTATATACACATAGCTACTCCTAGTATGCAAACATCGAGAAGCTGTAGTAAACTCATCTACACTTTAATGGTATTCTTTAAGTATTGTGATTATAATTTATGTACGGAAAAGTAATTGCAAACAAATCAGTAAACAGTCTCAGTTATAAATTATGATGAGGGCAATGTTAAAAGGCTTCACTTAAAAACACAGTCTAGCATGAACTTCTAAGCTGTTAAGATTCTGTCTTTGGGCAGCTGGTTGTTAAGATTCCTATCTTTTGGCAACCAGTTCAATAGCTATTCTGTGGTAAATATTAGTGTAAATATAATTCATATATGCTAAAAGGAAAAATATAGGCCATTATTTTGTTAAAAAATATGTATTATATATAACTAAAAAACACAGTCTGGCTTTGATTTCTAAGCTGTTAAGATTTCTGTCTTTGGGCAGCTGATTGTTAAGATTTCAATCTTTTGGCAATCAATCATTAGCTATTCTGTGACAATTATATAACAATATATATCTATAATATATAAATTTTGCCTAAATATAAAAATCCCTCATGAAATGCACCAATGCACCTCATTTCAATGCATCTTGAAACGTCTATCTAAGGGTTATGTTATGTTAAAGTTATGATTACAGCAGCTTTCTGAATATTTGTGGTAGGTAAGAAAGTAATGTCCCTTTTCAGTATTGGCAAACTTTTTAAATTTTGTTTGTATTGAGTATGGCTTTGAAATGGCAAACATTTGTACCTACTATAATTAGTGTGTGATGGAGGTAGGATTGATGAAAACCAATTAAACCATCATACAATTTATTTATCTACAAGCAGGTACAGTTAGCTGTGTACAAATTAGCTACAATAAACACAATCGTAATCTATTTATATTAATAAAAACAAAAAAAGTGATGAGCCCAGCCGTAAAAGCGTTGGCCTCGCACTATTGTTGTTGTGTTGTGTTGTTTCAGGACTATAGTATGACATAACTCTTGTTATTATTAAATAACTTACCTGATTTTAGCGCCGCCACAAGAATTATTTTGGGGCATCGCGAACATCTTTAACAATTCAAAGTTGAACAGCTTGAACTTCTGTTGAAACCACGCATTTATATATAAGCGCCCTGGTTGAAACCAATTGACATTTGTGCCATGTTATCGTTTTGTAAACAAAGGGAACTGGACAACTTTTGCGAGGAATCATATAAAGACATTTATTTGTTATTGTTACCTCCGAATTTCGCCATTTATTCGCAATTTCGCCGCAATTCCTTGGCGCAAAAATTGTCACTAACATGTCGAAGAGGAAATTTCCCAAAGGAAATTTCCTACGATTTCCCAACACTGAACTGTATATATTACGGATGCTTTTGACGATACAGAATCATCAACTTTCTACCCATGTGTTTACGTATCCAAGCAAAAATAAAAGTATTTTTTTATATATAACTTCTTTTACACAGGTAATTAAAGAAATTGATGGATATTTCTCTTTTTATACAGCTTTTTTACGACTTACGAGGCTACTCAGCGCTCATCGACTGAGGATATACGATACTCGACATCCCTGCGGCAGCAAAAAAATTAGTCAAATAAAAACCATCGTGCGTTTGGTAACATTTATTGTCTTTATTGTCTGTCGCCTAAACAAATCAAGTGCAATTTCAATTTGTGACCGTGATGAGAAGAAATGCTGGATAACAGTTGACACCGGCATTGAACTGAAACAACCTTTGCCTATTCCGTGGTATATAAACGCATTTCCTGCAATATTTACACAATATAACTCGTTGATTATCCCGTATTCATGCGTACAATCACATTTTCTATGCCGAAGTGTGAATACTAGGTCTTGAAAAATATTCACAGAGTATTCGAAGGTATTCTAGGTCAGAATACGCGGTGTGTTTTATTCACAGGTATTCACATCGGAATACCCCCAATATTCCGAGGATATTCACAGTGAATATCTGTGAATACGTGTGAATATGGACCATATTCGAACTCATATTCGCACGTATTCACCTGTGAATACGCGGTTTTTCATGCAGTGAGTGCAAGGGCACTTTGGCGAGGCTTTGACCTGATGATCTGGGTCACCTGTTTGGTAGATTTCCGTGTCAAAGCCTCATCCTCATCTAGGCAAGTAACGACTAAATGCAAACTATATTGGCTTTACACTGCAGAAGTCTAAGAAAAAAAGCTCATAGGCTAGGCTAATATATGTTTGTTATGTAAACGTTGCTCATTATAGCTTTATCTGTAAACGACGACATATGAGCCGGCTTAGAATCTGTGTGTGGTTACTTCCAAATAGTCGTTATTTAATATGCCAATATTTTGAATATATACCAATGTTTTTAATATACCAATGTTGCCTCCTCAGCTCTGGATGTTTCCGTCCAAATTTGCGTGATGCACGAGTGGTTCAACAGATTTCATTAAAATATATATGTATAATATGTGAATACTGATACTGATTTTATATTTCGCGAGAGCTTGAGTTATGCTGTATGTGTGACCCAATAGATCCAATGAGGTTTTTTACCCTCGTAATATTACTAAATAAATTGAATTGCACATGGTACTTGCGACCAAGCGCAAAGCCAACTCTTACAGTAAAAAATGAACTCATGCGAATTACCATGTCTTGATTTTGAATTGACTATCAATGGAATTTGATAAAGTCTCATGAAATCCAAGAATTCAGGACGAATTTTCAAGGAAAGCTCAAAAAGATTTCAATGACTTTGAATGTTAAAGATTTTCACCCCGAGTATAGATAATTAACAGTTCTTATCGTTTACGTGTAGGTTTACGGGCGTGGCACGCTATCGATACGAACGCAGGTCATCTCGAACAGAAAGAAGAAACGCAGCCTTTTATTGAATATTACAAGAACAAGCGGCTTCCAAAGTTTCTGGATTTTTTCGAGACTCTCTTGAAAGAAAATCACAAGAAAACTGGAAAGCTCGTGTTTGTTGGCGACCAGTTGTCATGGGTTGACATTTGCGCATTCCATGTTATTGATGGGAACCTCCTCGAGTGTCCAGAGGTGCTGGACCGAGAGCCCACGGAATACCTAAAGAAGTTTCACAGTGCCATAGGAGAAAGACCAAATATCAAGGCGAGGCTCGACTCCGACAAACGACCCAAATACACTCATACTGGACCCATTGTGTAGAAAATATAATTGATGTCTTCACATGGCTGGATTTTCATTTCATTCTTAAATCATGACGGATGATGAACTCGAGTCGTCTTTTTAAAGGGATATGGCAATAAAAATTATTTCTTTATTGTGGAAAAGAAATTTACCCTTCTTATAGAGCCTTTTCACAAAACTTGTTTATCTACCTTACTTCTCAAGATATTGGCTATCAAAAAAATCGACTATCGAGATATATCCGCCGTTTTGTTTTATAATGAGATCTTAGGTGACGTCAAAAGCAGGTTAACGCTTAAAAAATAACAATTACATGTTTACGCTTTAGTTTAGAACTCTTACAATTCAAACGTTATAATTTGAGATACGTGCGATTGTAATACCATGGAGCTTCACTGCGCTGGATTGATAACGCATATCACGGCAAGCAAGAACATGCAAATCCCAATGGAGGAATGCGGATAGAAGATATTTTCATTAAAAATATCTTGAGAAGTAATAAAGTTAACAAAAATCCGTAAAGGAATTTTGTACATAATTATCATGACGAAAAGAGACAAAGATAATTTTTATTGCCGTATTCCTTTAATGTAATTTATCCTGATGTAAAGAGTGATGTAGCTTATGTCTAAAAATCAATGTGATTCATATTAAAAGCACTTTTGACTTTTCCTTTTTCGGTTGTGATAAGTATTAAAGTAGAAAATACAACTGAGAATAACAAAGCAACTGATGTTTGTCGTTTGAAAGGAGGAAAATTTTCGACGACCTCTTCTCGAATTCTCCGAAAGGAAGCACAATTGATTGAATAGATGTTTGGAGGTGTCTAAAAAATGGTACCGCGCCGTTGAAATTTACCTCTTGTTTCCAATTTGAATGACTGATTACATGCTAAGCTAAGTATGGCAAACAAGTAAGCTGCGCGGCATTCAAAATTACAACGAAAGGTCAGTTTAAAATACGGTGCTTTTGGGACCGCTGGCCTGGGAAAACTCATTAACTTTTGTTTCTACTGCCCGGCAATCAGAGGTAGGAACTTGCTGAGGCCTGTGTTATTTCTATAGGCCTTGGTTGCATCGTATGCTATTTAAACAATAGACAATAAGATGATAAATCTCATTATCTCATGATCCATTGTTTGAATTGCATTCCACGCGACCAAAATGCGACGTTTAACCTAATATTTGGCTAATGATTCAGTAATTTACCAACCCTGAAAGTTGAAGCGATCACGAAGTGTTCGCGTTGCTGATCAAAAATATATGTAAGATTGAAGTCTTATAGCCAGAAGATGTAAAAAAGACATGCAGTTATTCTTCATACGACAATGATATCTGACAACAAGGTATACTATATCAGATTTCGGTGTAAATTAGTTACTTACTTAAGCGGACGTGTACTGAATTTGTTGAAAGGCACATGTAGAGATTAATATTTAGGCAACGTTCATACGGAACCGGACGAATTTAGGACTAGATTTTGACCGGTTCTTCTTGTTCACACGAGAAAACCGGGCGAATTCGAGCACAATACCAAATTCGTTCGAGTCCGTGTGGACGTAGCTTTTACACTATAGCCATACTGCGATTGCTAGCTCACATTGGATTGATTTTGGTCGCTTTTTATATAGTCAAATCTTTAATATTCCTAATAAATTTTGGTCTCATGTTTTCTGGTTTCTCTTATTTCGCATTTTCTATTATTTTAGGTACAAATTCCTGGGGAAGAAGCGCAGTATATATGTTGAAAGAGTTCTGGCCACGTGCAAGGTTTCTTATGTTCAAAAATTTTACTTTATATATATAGCCAATACACTGAGAGTGTTTGTTATACATTTGTTCCGGTTGCGGATGTTTGCTATGTATTTGATGTATTCAGCGAGTCCAGTTACCGCGATTTAACGAAGCGTAAAATGTTGTCAGTAAAATATTATACAGGGTGTTATAAATAAACCCTGCAACACTTAACATTCATAGGAAGTTAACTAACTCTTTTTTCTTGTTATGTAAACATGATAAACCCGAAAAATAATGCTGAGAAGTTAGATAAGATAAAGATAAGATAGATATTAGATAAAGTCTAATTGCAAGCTGGGAAGCTTGGAAAAACGTTTGGGAGATTGAAATTAATACCTGGCCAAGTCTTAGATATTTCTTGCCGAATAGCTTTAAACATTTCGGTAGGGGAATTAGCTAGGTTAACCTTTGCGTTTAAAGGGTTATTGCGTCCCCAGAAGCCAAATTTACCTCCAAACGTACCATCAGTATGAATACAACAGGCAGCTGTCCACATGATTTCTGGAAAAGAAATTCTGTAATTTCCCGCTCGTATTGTCGCTTCGCCTTGGTAACTGCCGAAACCAGCCGAACCAAAGAACTTTGGCTTTCCGAGAAAACTCGATGGAATTACGCCAACCACGACATACACTTTTGCATCCACCTTTTTTGATGCTGCATTTTTTTGCCACTTTTTCGCCTGTTTTATCAATTTATCCTCAGCAAACCGCCACTGGTTAGAATTGAAGGAGCCTTCTTGAGGTACGGAATTTGTGTAAAAAAATGTGGCATCAATGTCAAACTGTGTTCCGTGGGTTTGCCCGTACCTAGCGGCGATCAGGTGACCTTTGTGGATAGTTATCTTGGGTGGCGTGCGACTGCAACGTCCCGTACCATCCCAATTCCAAAGCGCTCCTCTCTCATCTTCATAACAGTAAATATGATTGCGTGAGCATTGGTAATCACGATTTGCTGCCATGCTCTCTGGGGACTTTGAAAGAGTTCCATCCATTGTTGTTCTCCAAGTGTCCTTGCGTTTTATATTTTGTTTACCTGTAAAAAATTAATACGTTTTTACCGTTGACCTTCTCCTCACGGGTACTGCATGGATTTTGATCGCTGGACTTTCATTAAAAAGGAAGAGGTCGCCAAAGGTCAACGAAAAGGGCGTGGGCTTCCTCGCCCTGATTTTGAAGCTACTTTTTGTGTTATTAGTTTTTGGCGAGAAGTAATGGACCTAACTCTGCCCGGAGATTAGTCATAACCGACTATAATAACTATGGGCATACCTCCCTTAAAATAAGCGCCGTTGATCACTGTGGCAGCATACAATGCTGATCGTGCATTGCAGTCGTACAGAACAGCGACGGTTCCTCCTTCGCATATTGTTCCAACTCTTGCGTTTGGCCCAAGTGCTAAACTCTCAAGGCCTTCTGGTGCAATCCCATTTAGATTTTGCAGGTTGTTCTGTTTCAGGCGTGGATTACATCCACCAGCGAAATTACACGCGCACTTCAACGTAAACCCATCAGTTGGACAAGCTAAGTATAAATAATATAAAACATTTAGGTTTGCCGATCAAGGGTTTGAGCTATGGAACATAAGGTTTCACTCTTTTTTCAAGACTTTTACTTTTCTTTATTGTCCTTACTGTTAAATGAAAATAATATTATTGTAATTGTGTATTGTGATATCAGAATAATACACGCCGTTCCGGCGTTAACTCCGGCATGCTGCGCACGTGCCAGTCTTCGATATAAAGCTTCTGAACATAAACAATACAGTTCATACTCATTTAGATGCCTTTCCAACCTAAATGTTGTTCGATCGCGAAATTCAGAAGCACATCGTACTTTAAAAAGTATAGAAGTTCAATTGTTCAAAAATGTAAATAAACCGCATGATACGTTCACTTTGTCTTACACTTTGCCTTTGGAATTCGCGCTTATATAGTTATAAAATCTTCAATCCAATCCTGTGCAAACTGCGACGTGTCAACGCGCCCATCACGACCATATCTTGTTAAACGGCGAGATAGCAGCGATATTATTAAAATAGGACCAAATAGAAGATAAATTTGAGGAGAAAAAGTGTAAAGGAGTTAAGAATTAAGTGTGTTGTAAAGAATGAGATAAAATTCAATGACTATCTAGAATGTTTAAACTCTGTTTAAAGTAGGAAACATACGGTGTACACGGAAAATGTTAATAAAGTTGCGCTGTCGGCTAACGACGATAAGAGGGTGGTTATGGAAGATGGAATTAGTACATTGGCGATCGGACATTGGAGAATTTAAGTTTAATTTCAAAATATTGAAGATAAACTTTAACCAATCATCTTCGGGGGATGTTTCCTCCACGTCGCCAAGGTATTTTAGGCCGAGGACTTTGAACTGATTGAAGCACAGGCTTTCTCCCTTTCCTCCCGAGTAAGTTCCTGTGATAGAAAACTTGATCTTAACCTTTTTTTTCCCTTTGTCGAGAAAATCCTTTTTTGTTTTTCTGACAAGTTTTTAGAACTTAGGTAAACGACGTCATTGTAGAACGGATCCTTCGCATTTGTTTCATTTTGAACATCGTTGATCTCAGATCTGAGATCATTAAGAATTATGGGGATTTTGTTCTAGTCTTCTTATACTTCTTATCATATTCCACCCCCAAAGTCACAACATCTTCGATGTCGAAAGTTTTTGGTTCTGAAAATTCCGTAAACTTCTTATTTATTATATGTATTTTTTCTTAAATACTCTTTGGGTCAGTTTGGGAAAATGGAAATAATAATTGGAAATAATTGAAAGAAATTGAGAAAAAAGTCAAAGTAGCGGAGAAACCCCCCTTTCTACTGCTAAGATTTGGTGTTTCAGCATTACTTCAAAGAGCAGATAATAATGCTCTTGGTATGAAGGCAGAAAAGGTAAAATATTTTGAAAGTCTATTGGTAATACAAACAATAATACTTCCCATCTCAACTTTAAGGGGCTTCACCTGAATAACCACGGTAATATCTTACTTCAACAAAATATGAGTGAATTTGCTAACAACATATTTTGACTAAACATGTTGCATGAAACGTATGCAGTTGTTGATGATCTGCACAATGCTATTAATCAATCCATGTCATTCTTTCTTCCACAAAATGAGAGGACTTAAGCTTGCTTCACTTAATGTGGGAAGCTTAAAAAATCGCATTGATTAAGTGAGGATTTTACTTTCTGATAATTCAATTAATATCTTTGCAATAAAT